GTCCACCAAAAGCCCTCCGAAGTTGGTACTACTTCATACAATACATTTTTATTAAACTTAAGTATATGCCCCGTGTGTCGATTTTGCAACTGTCCGTAGAGTTTCCCTACGACCTAGGCCAACTCAGACCTAAGTCGTTGAAAGAGATGTAAGGACCAATAACGAATTTTCCTCAGTCAACTCAAAATTCACGTGGATAAAATTTAGTTTTCTATTCTTATTTAGCCAAGTAATACGACGTAATGTTCATATGAAGGTCAAGATAAAAAGTTTTTGAACAATTTCTGTCAGCAAATCATCTTTATTACTTAAATTTAGCCTTGAACACATTTTAAGCACTTCTTAAATACAGGTGTAAATATTTGCTTCTATTAAAAGAATTGCTTGAACCTACAGCTGCCATCTGCAGGTGAATGTACTCTCCACTGCACATATCTCTCCAGTCATGAAGTCCTGACATATGAACATCTCAGTTTGTATGTAAAATCGAGAATGCGAGTGAGGTCACATACATTTCACGTAGAGTGCTTTAACCAGACGTGCTGCAGTCTTCTTTTCATTATTTTCTATTATCCTTCGAGGGCCTCTTCCTTGCGATTCATGCTCTTTTTGGTCGATTTTATTGAGGTCTCCGCTAATAAGAGAAATCCGAGTCAATTTGTTCCATTCTTCTGATGATCCAACTCCTTATCATTCCCATATTCAGTTTGTAGTTGGGATAAGACGAAAAATAGTCTATTATTCCGAGGTAAAGTTTATTTCTGCATCATTTTTGAATGTCCTGTTGAAGCGAAAAACTCCTACATTAAGGACTGCTATCTGCTCAGCCCCTTTCACTTCAATTGTGAATTTTATCTTTTTTTCATGCTCGTTCATAGCATTCAGAAATGTTTCTAAATTTTTCTCACCAAGCGACCACGGCGCAAAATAGTCATGCAGTTATCGGATGGGCCCTCTTGGTTGCAGCATTGATGTCTCGAGTTTTTTTTCTAATTTATTCAAATATTCGTTGCCAAAAGAGGTATAGTGGCGATTCCATATGTAATGAAAATATTTGCTCATAGCAATTGCCGTTAAATGAGAACTGGGTGGTCCTTTTTGTGGTTGTGCCAAAGACTCATTTCGGATTCGCCCCATCTCAACAATTCCTCGTTCCAAGAACTCCAACAGGACCGTGACTACCTTTTCGCCTAAAATCTTTGTATTCACGAAGTGTACATCAGAATTTAGCAGTTCTGTTCCTTCCGCTCCAATGTTTTGAACTCTCGGGAAGATTCATGCCAATTATTCACGGTGTCTGCAAGTCTTTTATTTACCTTCTCGAGCGCCAGGTATGCGAACTTTACATTTTACCCAAGTCAGATCGACGGGGGAAATTATCATTTCAACTTTGGCTCCATATTTTCTGCCAAAAAAAGTTTCAAAATATCATTTTGTGGCTAGTAATGACTCCATTTCTGTTTATATTCTGGAGTTGACTTTGTTTATATTGCTTAACCCCGGCAGAACTCTGCTCTTCGACCAAAGGCCATAAAGGTCTCATGCTATCCTCCATAGGGGTCGATTAGTACCTGTCAAAGCGGATTGAAGCTCTAACTTTACGCTCCGAAGTAGTTGAAAAAAACAAATAAAAAGTTACAATATTGAAATGTGGAGGTACTAGGTTATGGGTTATGCGAATATGCGAGTTTCAACCTGATTCCTCGCAGTACAAGGTTTATTGACGATGTCGACTAAACGTCTGAAAATGTACGAGGCTTATTTCCATTAATCTTATCCTTCTGATAATCACAACTCCATAGCGATCCCACTATGATCTGCGATGTGGCCAATTGACCAATCGCCTATATTAAAGTTCTAATGACTTGTTGCATAATTGGCCTAATGTCACTTGACTTTGCAGCACATTGAATAAAAATATGGCCAAATTTCAGCATCAGGTTACCCGATGCTGCCTCATTTTAGTTCATAGGACGGAGCTATCTGTATTGGGTTTAGGACGAATGATAGCCCGCGCTTTTCCCAGCATACCTTGAAAGTTAGTATTGGAGAACACATCTTGAAAGTATCATCATTATCCCTCTAGCACGAGGCAATTTTTTCCTTTACGCTGTCAAAAATGGCATCGAGGCTGGTGGCTAGTACGGGATGAAAGTCTTCTTCAGAAAAACTAATTGAAAACGTGAATCCACTATACGCGCAAGCTTTAAATGCTGGCAGCTGGGTCACATGGCATCAAAGAGGCATGTGTGTAAAATCTTACAAATTACTCTTCCCCCATTGCTGGCTGCTATAATTCCAAATCTTTCCTCTTGAAAAGCAGGCTTCCGGAAAGGAAATTCGCCTAATTCTCGTACATATTTCATCGGCGCATCAAGAATTTATTCCCGTAATTCTCCCCATTTGCACCAAGAGATCTTCGAGAATTCTTTCTACACACTATATTTTAATATTTCCATTGTCCTACCTATGCTCTCCAACTATGTCGCTCTTCATCTGTCTATTCGTTCTCACAAATTGGGTAATCGTTTTTTCAGAAGTGGATTGACCTCGTTGTCGCAACTTGCTCTTGTTGTCAGGGCGACTTAGTAGAACGCACCTTTTCCGAAGTCCTCTGCCATAGTAGTTATCACACCGGGGCAGCACGATCTTGGTCTTCATAGCTTCGAATAGTTTTTTCATTTCCGCCCTCCGATCTCATAACTTTAGGGAGTCTGACGGTGTCATGACCCTATATCTAACTCGAAGAGCCATCTTGGAAAGTTGGCCCTAGCAGTGCAATGTGGATTAGTAGCCGAAGCATTTTGGCGTGTGGTTGGAATCAAAACAGCTTCTCAAACCGTCTCATCTGCATTTCACCATGATCGAGCTGACACTCATTTGGCCGGCCGGCTTCGCATGATGACATATTTGCTACAGCGAATATACGTTTGCTTCATCGACAATCCCACCAAAGAGTGTGACATGGAAAAAGGCCTGGCCTTCATTGAAATTCACATCTGCCCTGTGAACCAAGAGCACTCGTGGCAATACGGCTGACTGGCCAATGCATCAGGCCCACATGCTGCATGGCCACGGTTCGACTCCCGCCGGGGGTGTTGTTAAGACCTCTGCCAGGTCGAAAACGCAGTCCATCCTGAGGTGCCACCTCAGCTCGGAATACAGCGATTGCCGGTCGCCTAGGTGAAGTCAAGGCAAAGTTGGGCTTCGACATGTGATTGCGAAGCAGCCACTTCCTTTTCCGAGGTGTGGTACCAACTTTGGCATGTAGAGATGGCAACTATCTGCTGTCACAAGTAAACCTTCAACCTTTCCGGCAGAAGGCCCACTTTTCTGTCGTATCCTCTTCACAAGATATTGATCAGAGCTGATTGATTATGCCAGACATGAGGCATATGCAGATAGCCAATTGAACTGACGCCATCTTAATTATGCATGCATATTGCACTCCTCCCAACAGCAGAAATGAATGCATGCAGTCCAAAAAGACAATGATTTGTCGAGCATTGTGGTCACACAACAGCGACTTGAGGCTTATCTGCTTTGGCGCCTTTGCCTGTGCAAATAATTACGACAAGTCGCTATAATGACCCGCATTTGAAAGTTTTCTGTACATTTAAGTCAGTATAGTTGCGTACTTGTATTCTCCGGGATTTTGAGAATATCAGAAGATCATGACTCTACTTATGCCGCTTCAGGTGGGTTTAGATTAATCTTTTTAGATTGCATTGTTGTGGAGACCAGTTCAGGTGAAGCCAAACTGATTGAAATGGAATGGCATCGAGAGACTAACTCAATTCATTATGAGAAGGTTTATCATCTTTAGCTACATAGAATGATTAAGGTTGTTATATTTTGATCTTATATATATATATGTATAGTGTTGGTTTGACTTCGTTTTGGAAACCCTCGTATTCAACCTATTTTGTTAGAGGTGATGATGTACTGTAGGTTGAATTGTATCACAATTCTATGAGAGGTTCTCACGTTTCCAAGGGAGATTGCATAGTCTTTAAAACCTATACATGAAAAAAAGAAGTTGACTATACTATCATTTGGCAGACCTAGAAATCAAGTATAAGTATTTTGAGATTGGAACTATCAGACAAGCGTACAAAGCAAAACAAGTGACCCGAATTAAGCGATCTGATCTCGTTTTCGCAAATTAGTCCTGTAGTCATGGCGGGCTAGTTGGACGCACCTTGTCCGAAATACTATGCTATAGTAGCTGTGCCAATTTCCAGCATAAGATCGTGGACTTGATACATTCCCAGACGGTCCGCTGGCGATATAGTCGACATATTTTGAAATTAGGCAACCAGAAAGATAACGAACGGATCTCCCGGGTCGTGATCGAGATTGTGATAGCAGGTCCAAATTGGATCCATGATACCGAGATAGAGGGGGAGGGGTGCAAGGTAGATATGAGCATAACTATAAGGAGGGCGAACGTAAACTTTTCAGAAGTTGTGGTAGAGAGGGCGAGGTGTAAGCAGATGTACCATAATAGGAGTGATAATACAACCGCTTGACATAAAGTTGATCAAGGGATTAACTTCACATGTCTCTTTGACGCGTTGTAGCTTGGCACGGAGAATGGAAAAACTCACTGACGACGCCGTCGAAAAGTCTGGAAATGTACCATGTTCATGGTACGACGCTGGGGACTTCGAACAACAGGCGCCTTATTAGATCGCCGTGACAACATGATCAAGAGATGAAAACAAAGTCGAATCACTTTTATACAGCGGAAGGATACTGAGATCAAAACAGAAGCCACAACATCTCGATCCTCGTACCTATGAAAAGACGTGACACTTTCCCAGTCCAACAGGTTGTCTGTCTCGGACTCAAATGAATAAGCAAAAGTGAGCTGAAACCCTGTGAACCTTGTCTTGTACGAAGGCACTGATCGAGTTGGCTTGACGCTGCCCGGTCCGGTGTTTGCCAGAATTGGCGCAGTGCAAAAAGTCATGTGGTTGAGACCATCGGGGATCTGATGGTTTGGAAGACACATAATCTCTGCAATACAGTGCCATATAAACTGTCGGCGATTTGGAACAGTGTGAAGCAATGCGGGGTCTTGTTCTCGCATCGTTATGCCTAGAACCTGATGCTTTTAGCGCAGCGCTAATAGGAGATAACAGTTTCGTCGTTGAACTCGTAAGCCCACATTCTGAATCCCGGCGATGCTCAGGAATCACAATGTGGAAACTGGAGTCCGGCCTCTGCAGGAAGTCCTTTTGTGCTCTACATAACATTAAGTGAAAGTGTAAATACATCTCATATATATGATCTACGGGTGGTCTCGAGAAACTGCTTAAAAGATGAAAAATAAGTAACCTAGTCGAATGCTATAGCCACTTTGCTCCATCGACCATCCCACCACAGAATGTGAATTGGGAAAAGGCCTGACCTTCCTTGAAATTCACATCTGCCCTGTGACCCACAAGCACTCGTGGCAGTCTTGTGTGGTGGTTGACGTGCTGGGATTACACGCTGCATTGTCAAAGTTCCAGTCCCGCTATGAGTACTGATGAAAATGGTTCCGCCGAGATAGGAACAAGTCTATGTGAAATTCAATGGAAACGTAAGGTCTACTCATTTGATTGTGGGAAAATTTAACTATTAGTCGCCATTTCACCTTAAATGAACCAGAGTGAATACATCTTATAGTGTAAAATCGAGTCTTTTGTTCAACCTCTTATGGTTTGAACTACTGACTACCGGTCATCGGGACTCAGGAACCTGCCAGAGAATTAGTAGTGAAGCGATTTAGAAGAGGTTGGTAAGATTGTGGAATTAAATGTTTTTTTCAAGGGTGCGCTTAAGCATAAAGTAGTTTAGCAAATGAGACGATCTCCTCAAATTCCCATTCATAGTGGCCAGAGCTTTCGTTTTTTTCAAACTATAGAAACGGAACTTCGATGAATTCCTTGACACATCATTATTAACACACTTTGTATTTCATAGTCAAATAGAAACTAAAAAAAATTAAGCGAACACCCACACCAGAAATCAAAGGAGGAGTTCCCTTGGTCTGCTTTGAACCGGACCGACTGGGAAATCGGCGCATCTTAGTTTTTCAAGCGACAAAGGGATCCGTTTTGTTTTGTTCATATGAAAGGACTTGTAAAGGCTGAACAGGCCTCCCACAACAACTTCAAGCTAACACCAGGCTGGGACAAACTTGGCCGACATGAGTACAAGAGTTGGGTTTACAACGAGTCTGATAGCGACTTCACTTGAGACTAAATGCACTTGAGGTGAGTAAAAATGACTTAAATTTTCTTCTGCCTAATTATTTATTCTACTGATTATTTATGAGGTGTATTCACCCAATTTCGTTGAAGGTGATGAAGGATTGGTAGAAGAAGAATTTTTCCACAATCGTATGAGTTGAGCTGACGTTTCCATAGAATTTCACAAAGCCTTGCTTTCCATAAAGTTTTTCTCATCCAGGCACCAGTGGACTACAGTTTAAACCTCGTTAGGTCATATCAACACCCTCAGCGGCAGTCGAACTGCGACAGTGCAGGATGGGAGCTTGACACACTAACCACTCGGCTACACAGCCACGAGCGCCTTTTGGGTCACAAA